CGTGAAGTTGGCGAACGCGAGGGCAAAAAAAAAAGAGTTTACGAGGTAGAAGAGAGAAGGAAGCTGACGGCAAACGAAGACGAAGGGTTCGAGGACTTCGAGGTGTACGGTTGCACGCGCGAAATCATTATGCAAGAGCGAGTAAAACCAGACTATCGACGCGTCCTTATTTGCAGAGAGCAATTTCGCGGATATCCGAGAAGGAGAGAAAAAGAGCGTCGACGGAAAGGATGAGGGAGGACTAAAGGAGGGAATTGACGCGGATTATCGCCGGACAAAGTCGAGCCACCCACGTGGCCGGAGCCAAGTGCGGCTAAACGGTCATTGTCCGTGCCCGCCATCCCCATGGACAATGGGGAAACGCGCGGCTTCGTGCTCGCATCACGTGGCGATCTGATAATGCGCACGCGATGATGATTTCTCGCGACGCGACGATCCATCTACGTCACCTACGTCAAGATTGTCCCATATGAAGGAGAGATTCGCTGGAATGGGACACAATCGGCTGACTAACCCTCTAAGTCGCTATAAATTTTCGTGAAGCTCCCCGATACAGCGTGGAGTATATCTTATTTAAGAAGATTCATTAAAATTAAAGGATTTATTACGAGGAAGCGATATATAAAAGAACAAATCCTTCGTGATGCGATCCATCTACGTCGGGCAAATTGTCTCTCGCCAAGGGGATTTAACGGGCCGGTGTGTGACTGGCGTGTGTTATAATCCTGCCGGTACCATAAATTTTATTAAACTTTCGGCATGACGAGAGGATCCTGATACTCACAATTCCATTTAGGAGAATTCGTTGAAACTAATGAGATTTGCAAGGGAATGTTTTTAATCGTACCGCTTTTTACGCGAGGCTTGATTTTGTATATTTTAATATTAATCACAGCAAAAAGAACGCCTTTTATTCCTCATCTTATATCTGAAATAAAACGTCATGTTTCCTATATATGAATGCATAAATCGCGACTCTTTGTGATATAATAAATAGGCATTAATAAAAAAGCATTATTAATATATATTATACTTTTTTAAATGTAATGAAGAGGTTACTATACGGTTAAACTTCCTATTCGCCTATTTTTTTTAAATCTAAGCATTTTTTTCTAACTCGCAACTGCTCGTGACGAGAACTAGACATGTGACGTTCCACAGATAGGGAAATGCTAATAATTCTCATTGTGTGCTATTTTTACTGCAGAGTGTTAAAAATAGCGTGTCATTTACATTGTTGCTCTCACGAGCGGCCCTCTTCCTTTATCTAATCTTCCCGGGTCGTTACGGCAGGCGGCAGGCGTAATCGATTTGTCCGGAGTTGTGCATCATCACGTTTTATAAAAAGGTCAGCTCGCTGACGCAAGCCGTGTATTGGAGCTAAATAACGGAAAGGACCAATTAATATTAACATTCCACCGATCAGCAAACTTCACTCAATGTTTTAACGGTTATGCATCTATTTCCCCAGTTGTTGAAGCTCTTACCGACCACCCAAGCTCGTCGCGATCGATCTCATACAGATTCGATTCGATTTAGATAGAAAACAGACTAATCTATTTGGACGGCTATGCTGCGGAAAGCGTTACAGAATACCGACAAATGGCGAATAGGTACACAGAGAGAAACCCGTGAAATTTAAAGTAGAACGCCTCTCGGCAGCCCCTTGTACGACGAGCGTCCGGAGAACGCTATTATGTCGTCCTTTGAAGTCGGCATACTCTAACGTATACGTTAATACGCGCGTGACTCGTCTTTGATCTCTGACCGAGTGAGTAATTAGATGCATCGCGCATGCACGAAATTGCGTACGCGCACGGGCGCACTTGGTAAAAGCTATGTGCGCAAAGGACTCTTCCCCGCCGCCCACCGACGGCGTTTACAAGCGCGTATGCGTGCAGGCACGCATTTCCTCTAGCGAGGGAGCCTTATCAGATCCGACGCGATTTATCGTCACAACCCTGCCGCTTTGCGGCAACTTGTATTTTTCGCGTAATCTCTCCGTCATCGTCGGAGATCTTTCGCGGATCTGGAATTAGTGCCTCGGCTTCCTCGGAACAGCACGTGCTCTACGAGCGCACGGAGCATCGAATGCCGACGTTTAAATCCGCCCGTCGCCATCAGAGGCAAAATTAAGTGAATCGTATAAGGCGTGGCGATCGGCGCAATTAGTTTTTACGGCCTTCATTAGCGATGCGTAAGTTTTAATTATTATTCACAGAGAAGTATTCCAGGAGCGGAATATTCATGCGTCCTTAATCTTTAATGGTTATTATAAAGTCCAAGTCGGCCAAGTACATACGTTAATCTCATTCTTCGCCCTCGTTCGTGTTTCGTCTTATTAGTAAAGTTCTCGTTCTCTCGCTTTCATTTTTGTATTGCCAGTAAAAGATTTAAAGGTATATGCATTCAGTAAATATGCAGAATGCTGAGAGAAAAAAAACCGCATAGTATACGTATTTAATACATTTTTGTTCATTTGTCAATGCTGGATTTGTCAACTCTTTATAATCACGAATGAATATGTGACTCTTTCTGTTGTACAGAGATTTTTACACAACACAATATCTATACTTTACCGTCATGTAAGTATAAAAAGAATGAAAATATTATATTTTAAAGGAAACATTTCCTATTTTACATATTCGTGCAATGGAAAATAATTTTACATCGATTATTGCTTTTAAATCATCTTTAATCTTCTTTATTTACATATTAATAATTTTACATCGATTATCGCTTTTGAAACACCTTTAATTTTTTTTTATTTACATGTTAATAATAATCAAACATGGCAATTTCGCTCGCACGTTGTCATGGAACGAAATTATATATGACGAATTGCGTCCCTGCCCGCACACGTGGTGCGCGATTGCGGTGGCAAAGAGGGCAAGCAAGGGGGGGGTCTCGCGTAACGCAATTATCCGTATTAACATAGCCGGCCCGGTGGTCCGCATCCGCGGTAGCGTGGCGGGACGTACGCAGGATCACTTTAAGGTAGTGTGCGGTATCTCTTCGAGAGGTAGTACAAGGTAAACGCGGCACGGCACGACCACGCTCCATCCTCAATGCAATTTCGACCCGGAGCGTATTATCCCCGCCAGCGCGTGACGGAAAATTGATAAAGCGGAGTGAACGCTACCTGCGCCAGCCAGCGGGTCTCGAGGATCGTGGAAGTCGCTCCTGAAAGATTGACGAGCGTCGGTGCTCGTCGTAAATGATGCGCGTCGAGCAATTGATATCTAACACTATAGTTGTTCCACGTCGCAAAGCGACTAAGAGAATTGTTTTATTATTTATTTAATAACTGAATAATGGCACAAAATTATGACGTTTGAAATAACGCAAGATGCTAATACCTTGTCTATCTAAAATTATTTTTAGTCTAAGGAAATATTTTTGAAATGTTAAACTTCAAGCCGTTGTTACAAAATAAACCGTTAATATGTTTTTGCTAACGGAGAAATTTATTATTATAAAAGTAAGATTTATTAGAACAATTAAAAAAAAAAGTGCCGATAGAGTTGGAATGAAGTTCCCCATAAAATCTATTACATTTTACGTTACTCCCACACTTCTATCTAAAAAAATCGATTGCAAAATCGTAAGGATAAATATGTAAGGTGTGGCTAGCACGAATGAAAATAACGTGAGCAGAGAATTAAAGACGTAAGAGGAGGCAAGGAAGACATGAAGACGCTAAGAAAACAAGGAAGCAAACTGTTGGCAAGAGGTAGAATCCTTTGGGATCGTTAAGCAAAAGAAGAATGCCCGGTATGCTCTTCGCGACTCTTCCTTCTCTCAGTATCCTCCATATTTTGCCTTGCCCTTTGCCTCTCTTCTCTCCGGCACGAAGATCGAAGCCTGCTTTACGAGGCAGTCTTGTAAGTCGATCGTTATGCCTTGATAGTACACGTACTTAAATGTGTGTGTTGCGCGCGTATGTGAGAGGCGTGTATAGAATATTATGGCGTGACATTGCGGGACGTAAAATCGCCTCTTCCCCACCCGACTTGCACGGTGCCAATGAAAAAAAAATATATATATATAAAGCCGAATCGCGGTAAATCTCTACAAATTGCCAGTTGTCGTCGCGCAGGGTGGTCCCTGTTTCGAGGACTCCTCTTCGCACGTGCTTGACAATGGTCCAGAACTTTTTAAAAAATATACGTCTTCTGTTATCCCGCTTTCATGCGATACATTCGTTAGCTCTGCTATTGTAGTCGAAATAATCGCGAAGAGAATAATACATCCATTCACTCTAATCACTTATATTTTGAGGTAATATATTATTAAAAATTTAATACATTTTAATTGTATTTATTACATATACATAAGATTGCCGCAAGATATTGGTATCCATTAATTAGAGGAAGTAAATGAAAAGAATTTTTTGATGAAGGTATTTACAAATAATTAAATAACTTTACAAAGTGCCGCGGTAAACAATCATTACCACCACGCGTTTCCTCGAAGTTTCTAATTATTGACAATTCGTGTTGTCGATTCGAAATATCGTGAACGATGCTGAGTTTTGTCGATGCCTGGAGGGTCTTCTAAGAAAAATTCCGGCGGCGCTTGTGTCTAGGTCACGTTGGCCTAGGTTGAATTATGAGTTGCTACCGATAAACATATGGGAGGAAAAAGAAAGCGTCGCTTTCGACACGCTCGATTCGGTAATTATGACACCTCATGCCGACTTTTCGCACCTGCCGCGTACCGGTTTCTCACCTCCCAGGTTGAAGATCGAAAGGCTATAAAGGCACTATTATAGTTGCTTCTATAATTCCTATCTTCATTGTTTCCTTGATTTTTATTTGACAGAATAAAATATTTTATGTGAAAAAGAGAATGAAGGAAATGGAATATCTGGATTAATTTTTGATAAGAACCTGGTGCAATTTGCGCACCGAGTTAAGGTGTATTTAATAAAGTCTTCGCATTTCTCTGCAATATCCTCGAGCTCACTTGAATAACTCGTGCCTTGTTATGTGTTGCAGATTTAGCAGAGACCAGGATATTTCGACAAGAAGGGGTCACGACTTATTCTCAGCTGCTTTTCGATGTGGCGCGGCAGCAAGTCGTTGTCGGAGCACGGTACGTATTTTCGCCGCAAGCTTGTCTTCAATTACCGTGTTAATCCACTCGTTTCCAGAACAACTGTTGTCACACATTAACGTCACTTAATTTAAAAAATTACGAAAATACTTGCACAAAGTTATACTCTTCAGTTACTTTAACTGGATATAAACAATATGGGTTCTGATGAAATTATACAGAATTAAAAATGTATACAATTGTAATGTGTAAAATTAAATGGATAGTATATTACTAGAAATAATATTTGATTTAAATAAAGAAACATTTAATTTTATTTAATATTCGAAGATAAATTGAAAAAATGGAAAACTAGGTCAAAATAATTTATAAAATGCTCTCGAAATTGCACGTTTAAATCTTGATACAACAATAACAAATTGTTAACAAACTTGCTGAAAGTTCTTTCGTGAAATCATAACTGCTACGAAAATTGCCGATGTTAAAACAAGTTCTCAATCCGATAGGAGTAACTATATCACTAATAGTCTTTTCGATAATAACGAGTTTGTAGAAAGCGTTTTGAGATCAGAATGTAATGAGAAAATATTCTCGACCTACTGGCTTTGATAAATATTATCTCTCAATCATATGATAAAAAAGTTCGATCACGCACGAGTGTCACATTTTGGCGCAATAATCACGATTTAACGCTTCGGACTGACATATCAGAAACTAATGAAGCCTGTCGATTTCTACGCATGTTGTTCTTCAGACAAGTTTGAAACTTGTATCAGCAACGTCAAATCTCATAGTCGTCTTCTAATGATCAGAACATTCTAATTATTCCAAAGCTTATCTGCTCTACTTATAGGATTAGTTTCACCGACATTTTAAGAGCTGTCCTTCTTTAGCATCAAACTTAGAAAAAAAGCATATAGCCAATTTCTATGTTAAATTATTCTGTATTAATAAAGTAGCGAGGAAACGATGACGAGGTTTATCGGATTCGCAATAACATATTTTGCAAATGCATTACGAAAAGAATTCCCTTGGAAGCAGCAATAAAAAACTCGACTCGAGTCGAGAAACTTTTCGATCTGATCTTTTCACACGAAGACTGAGAATAAACGCGGAGCATCGAATATAAATAAAGGCGAACGATTTCGCGAATCGCGTTATAGGACGACGACACGCTCTTTGACGACGTCACATTGCAGACGCAATACGACCCGTGGAAGGCGGTAAACGGCGCTGGATCCCTTCATCCGCGACAGTTTCCAGCAGAGATGTCCTGGCGACCCGCCAAATTGGCTGACATACGGCGGTCTCCCCGAGAGGCGCCGATCCATTTTCACGACCTGCCTGCGCCAGACGAGTCGGCTCGGTTTTATCCCCTCGTCTCGCGACGTGATTCACGAAAGGAACGAGGGGAAAAAATAACGGCGCGCCTCTCGTTGACGCTTTTTACATCGGCGAACGGCTGAGCTTCGTAACGAAGTCGGTCGCTCGCCTACGTGCCGCTCATTAACCGGGAATCATACCGAAAAAGCCGAATCGCCGACTCACGCGCATAAGCATTACATGACCGTGGCAACCTCGCGCAATGCCACTCAAATTGCCAGGACTAATTGCTGCGACGAATTTCGTAATCTTCTTACTTAACTGCGTTATCGCACCTTTACTATTCGATGACCTTACGTTTATCTCAGGGCCGCAGCAAACTTCCGCGAGTCGTCGAAATTATCGCGTGACAATTTTAAAATAAATAACGATATGCCACGCTCTTTGCTGCATGTGTTGTCTTGTCTTCGAAACATGCTACATTTTATTCCTTGGCATACGTTCAAGATCTTAACCGACGAAATATATAATGCACGCGATATGATATCGCGATATTGAGAAATAACAGATGGATCTCGTGATTGCCGATTTTGCGATATGACGTATTACATATCTGATTAAATTACGCGCTACGTGGAATATCGGATTTACGATGAGGCGGCGAGGGAATTACGACGATGAAATTGCCTCTGAAAATCATTGCCGGTGCGGTACGTGCTCGCGCTTAAGCAAATCGTGTTTCGCGCGATTCATTTACTCACGGTAGAATCGAGAATGGCGCGGGCACGAAACGTACCCGCCGGTCGCGCTCACGCTCGTTACAACGCGTTAAAGTACGGGTTCGTTCTCGTACGAAACTATGTTCGGAACGACTTATATGTGATATACAAATTACAGTCTCTCGCGTAGGCGAAACCAACGGCGCTTCCAGGGTCGGTGGAAACTTTTTTGCGGTACTTTCTCTATAGTCGATAAGCCTCATTAGAAGCAGGAAATAACGTTCGATATATTCGAAGAGAAAAAAAAGAGAAATAGAAAACGCAAAAAAAAAGGGAACGGGCGCGTCGAGTGGCGCGCATATCAAGTAGGCGATTACCTGTCCCACGAAATCGCGTCCTAACCCGTCTATCATTAATAATATTTGTATATACATATTTGTATACGGCGTTTTAACGAGTGACGAGTGGCCCGAGATTGGGAAAACGACAGCGACGTAATTTCGCCGTCTCGCGAGCGATCGAGAACCTGTTTACGTAGGAGCGCCAATTAGCGAAACAGAGAGTGACCGACGAGCACGATTCTCTCGATAGGCGAGCCTTTGTCTAAGAAGACGCGCGAAGAAAGATATCGTTTCCGCGAGATTGCGCTTTCGGACTTCGGTGCTTCGAAGTACGTCACGTTCGAACTCCTCCGTGCCCGCGAGCTTAACTCCGAGATATCAAGATGTATCGGAAGGATACTTGGACGACTGGTCCCTCCGGACTGGTCGACCTTATCTATATCTCGCGATTGACAATAAGTTAAGTGGGCACTTCTGACGACAAAAACGCAAAACTCGAAGCGCTCTGCTTCTCTTCGAATTTAATCGAGGACGTTGATACTTTTTCTCTTGATTCTCTACTCATTTTTTTAGTATAATACGCGAAGTATAACAACATGATTTAATTGCATGCAAATGACACATTATACCGAATTTTAATCTGAGATTTCAATTTTCAAAAAATATTGGAAATTTCTGAGATCCAGCAGAGGACGTAAAATTAAAATAATCACCGACCTGCCACGATTGGATTGTAAGATGACAGTCGAGTTGATCAATGAAGCTAAAATTAGCGTTATCGGCATTATTAACGTTGTGTACGACGCTCAGTCGATGCTGATCACGAAAAATGCGATCCACCCACGCGAGGTAATACGATCGTGCATACGTGCACGCACAACACGAGTGTCGCGAGATCAGACCGGGCCTGGGTCGAACGAACGAACGATCGATCGATCGGTCGATCGATCCGTGGAAAAGGGAATACGCCCCCGTACGCCTTCTATTAATAGAACGTCAGTTATTAGCCGCTGCCCACGTATAGCAGCTTTCGTGCGGTTTCCAGCAAAGTGCCGAGCACAGAAAAATATAAAACTGTTTTCAAGTTTGTAGATATTTTTTTTCTCTAATTTTCCTTCTAATTTTAATAATTAATTAGTTTCAAACATTATTTCTCTAAAATAAAAAATAAAAAATAAAAATTTAAGGTTTACTTATCAATATATGCATCGTTTCGACTACTATTATAGAAACTTGAGACTCGAAGAAATGACAGGCTCTGACATTTTTTATATTCTCACTCGAATCGCAGTGAATATATTATCTACTGCTATTACGCATCATGTTCATACTTCTATCAAACTTTCTAAATAGCATGCGTGCTTTACTCTCTACACTCTATTTATTTATTTATTTGACTTCCAAGCCTTTTCTTGAGGATGACGAAAGTGATATATGACAGCCTTATGCGGATGTCATCGCGGCTCGTAACGCAGTGGTTTCTCACCAAAGGTTTCTCATACAGAGAGAAATTATTTCTGCCGCGTAAACTTCTTGTTTTGCCCGGTTAAAACGACGGCGGCTGGATATATGACGTGACGTGAATAAAAGTTTTTGGGTTTACGTGCGTGAGATTACTCGCGACAGTCGGCCGCAGGTGTTAGGAATTTCATACGTCGCCGCCAACGTGGTCGTATCGTATTTACGATGTTGCTCGAAGTGTGCGAGGCACGTGAAACCTATCCCGACTCTTCATATCGCCGGTTCTCTCTATCTGTCGTTTTCATATCGACACACGCTGCGAAGAGAAACATTCTCTCGAGCATTTTTCCCTCACGATTTAGCGAATTCCTTCGTCCTACTATAGAATCCACGCACACGCACAAGAAGTACACTTATCTCTAGATAGATTTTAGACTGTCTTCTTACATTTAACATTATTTACTTTCATTTTTAAATGCGCACGTTACATACACGAAATTTTCGACTTTCTAAACCTTCTCTTTTACCTATAACATTTCCTTTTTTTATCTAAAAGAAGATTTTAATGGAATGAACCTTTTTTTACATCCTATACATATGTAAATATTATTTTTGCGCTTTTTTTTAAATTAAATTTTGCATTTTTACAACCTACAGATTTTGTTAACTAGAAATTTCTGCTAATGAGTCATCGCAATGGAATAATTATCGAACAAAAATATCTCATTAATATATTAATCAAACATTTATCTCTGGAATGGTTGACCAATTAATTTCCATCATCAATTCAGACTTGTCTTCTCGGGAACGGTGACGAAACGATTTCACCACGGCCGCGGCCGACCGACACGTCGTCGATTTCGGAAAGTCGTTTCCGCGAAAGATTTTCGCGCGTATTTCGCAGCCACGCGCGCGCCGCGCCGCGCCGTGACAAATCGTTACCGGGAGATTTATCTTGTAGCAAATAAGCGGCCTTATTTATAGGGCCGTGTCGATCGACGTGTCCACCGGTGCAGGTTGTCGCGAGAGATCGAGCGCAGCGGCCTACCGTTACGCCTACGGAACCTGATTTTGGTGCGTCGCGTCCGTCGCGTCGGCAGCCTTCGGCCGCATGCAGCATGCCGCTGCACATGTCGTCCTTTTATTATTCGACGCGAACGCGAACATTACTACACTTGGAGACGTAGAAATCTTC